CCATTATGTCAACAACAGCCAGAAAGGGCAATGGAATCCAGGGTAGATCAAGCATGAAGAGTGAAGAGTCTAGTGTGCCAACAACAACCACAAAAAACAATGGAGTCCAGAGTGAATCAAGTGTGGAAAGTGAAGAGTCGATCATCTCTGTTATCCAGCATAGCACAAGTGAAGTTGAAGCCTTGACAATGAAAAGAAACCAATCTCAAAATGGAGGCCATTCCACTCAAGCTTCACCTTTAACTCTGCTTAGTGGTTCTGGGAAATCTTCATATTCATCACCGCCGTCTTCAGCCTCAGGATTAGATCCTTCTAAGTTTGTCTCAGATTCAAATTCATCTCAGATCAACATTACCAAAAGTGCTTCTGAGTTTAATCCTTGTTCTTCAGTTAAGTTAGAAATGACTCCACAAGAGAAGCAAGCACTAAACCAGCTGAGTTCCAATGCCAAAGTCTCTGAAGACAATGAAGAAGTGCATAACATTTCACCTAAATTCATAACTGATAAGTTCTCAGTTAGTAACAGACATTTCAAACAAATGTTTACATTGAATGGAAATGACACTCCATATTTTGATACTGTGAAAAACTCTGTAAACAAAGTCAGTGATGCAGTTGGTGAATGCTTCATCCAGAGTATGGATGTGACTTTTACGTACCAAACAAGAGAGAATTTAATGAGCCAGAAAAAGAACAGTTTACAGTCAAGACCACAATATGCATCTCGTTCACTGCTACCGGAAACACTTAAAACTGAGGACTCCAATTTACGTGTTTCACCTCATCAGTTTGTTCACTCACTTCCTGGCAACTTCAATGACCAGACTGATGACAAGCAACAAAATACAGATACAAGAGGTTTCAAGGGAATGGCAGAAGAAGTTATCTCTTCTCATGAACCAACAACATTTAAAGATAAATTACAGGGAAGACATCAGATGAAATCCAATGGACAAAATACTACTGAATGTAGCGTTACAGATGTTGCTGAATGTAGAAATAACATTTGTGATATAACAAATTCATCTTGTCCACTGGTTCAGTATAATGACTGTGATGTTAAATGCCTCGTGAAGTTATTTGAAAAGAGAAGTTTTGAAAATGATAAAATTCTTTTAAATTATTTAGCCATACTTAAAAGGGCAGGTCATAAATTTGGTGAACAAGACAGCAGGAATTCATTGGAAGCACCAACTCAATTTAACAGCAGAACTACACCTATGCAGTTGTCTGATAAACACAAGTTTATTGATTCTCTAATTGGAACAAGAAAACAAAATAAATCTAATAACCACTTCTGTCTGTTTGCAGAAGGAGCATTAAATAACATTAGTTGGAATAATGGTGCTGAGCAAAGGGAAACAATAGAGAAGCCTAATAAACATGTTAAAACAAGATACAAGGAGCTACTTCTCCAATATGGAAGAACTTTTCAACAAAACCATGAACAAGATGAGTTAGTGGAAAAAAGCATCGTAGAGGGCATTCTAAAATTGGCAGAAATGGAAAAACTTTCTAAAGTTCCTAATTATGTGATATCTGAATCCATCATGTTTAGAGAATCTGATTGGCCAGTGAAATTATCAAATGTGAATATTGAGTATAATAAAGTTGGGTTAATGAAAGAGCTGGGAAAAGCTAGGGACGTGACACACGCAACAACACAAGAAAACCCACATACATGGCTCATGAAATCACCACAAAACTCAAGAGTGCTTGAAGATACACATCATTCAGGATCAGCTAACCAATCATTGGAAACCACAGATAACATCTGTTATAATTTAGGATTAGCTGACAAAGTAAATGAATCATTGAAATCTTCAGAGAAAACCTATGAACACAAGGACTCTGAGGTTATGTTTTCACTTGAGGAATCAGTAAAAACTTTGGGGATTGTGGAAAAATCAGCTGCAAGTATCAAAATATCTGACACTGCCCCAATTCTTTGTGTCAAGGGTGACAAAGAAACTGGTGGTAATAGCATTTTGGATAATATACTAACTCAAAAAGAAAAATATTAAAAGATGAACAACACTGTTTTAGTAACAAGAACAAAATTTGGACATTTGATGATGATAGCAAATGGATCAAAACACAATGTAAAATAGAAGGTGCTTTTCAAAGGTGCAACTGTGATGGATTAGAAAAAACCACAATCCCAGAAGTTACTGCTAATACAGCAGAAAATCAAAACAGGGAGAGAGCAGAAAACAATACAGCGGAAGATCAAAACACGGAGAGAGCAGATACCAGTACAGCGGAAGATCAAAACATGGAGAGAGCAGAAACTAGCACAGCGGAAGATCAAAACACAGAGAGAGCAGAAACTAGTACAGCGGAAGATCAAAACACGGAGAGAGCAGAAACCAGCACAGCCAAAGGCCAAAATAGAGAGAGAGCAGAAACCAGCACAGCTAAAGATCAAAACAGAGAGAGAGCAGAAACCAGCACAGCCAAAGACCAAAAGATGAACAGAGGTATTACTGCTAAATTTAAAATACTAGAAACTACCACAACTGAAAACCAAAACATGAACACAATTAAAGGTCAACGAATAGAAAGAATGATTGCAAATGATGACAAAAAACAAAATAAAGTTGTAACAGTTAAAGACAGTATATTATCAGTACAAAATGAAATAGATAATAACCAAATGGGGTCATCAGCAGATGAAGTTAACAATACAAGAAACCAATACGCACAGTCAAACAGATCAGAAACTTCAAGTTGTTTCCAAAGGCATAATACTGCACCAATTAGCATGAAACCATGTGGTTCTGACAAAACAGAGCTATGCAATCATACCTCCTCAATTTCAAAACGGCAGGCAGAATCCTCGGCATTTATTACGAAACGAGAAAAACTAGGAACACTCAGTCAGAACACCTCCTTGTCCAAGTCTACCTCCCAAGAAAGTCTGCAAGACAATGATGAAAAAGATGGTGCCATCAGTTACCATCGATACTACCACGTGTTTTGTCGGGGAGAATTAGATTCTCTCATAGAGAGTTATGTTGAAAACTTACACATAATCTCGTCATATTATGATCACGCTAACTGGTGTGTCGTAGCAGAGAAGGTGCAGGTGTGGACAATTTAGGTCAATTCTTATTACAACCATGTCAATTATTGTCTTATAGCAAAGTTCAGGTCTGTCAGCTGTGACTGTTTTTTTGTTCTACTTTCCTAACAAATAATTCATAATCTTATCCAATTTTAATCGTAACTAATTAAATATTTCTGAAATTTATCAGATCTAGCTCCAACGGACTGGAACATTGTAAAAAAACAGGGTCCTTCGATGTGAAATGAGGCAAGACAAATAAGTAATGTGCGAGCGTTTTCCAAACAGAGCTAATTCTCTCGTGATTTGAATCACTTCATTGCTTCAGTGTAAATAACATAATAAGAGCTCTTGGTGCTTGTGCCAACATTCTTTTGAGCTCAGTGTTATAAAATTTTATGATTAAAGAAACTGTTGTCTTTAAAAGTTGTCTGACAATTAATTCCAGTTCTACCTATTTCTAGTTTATGGGAAGAATAATACAGAAAAATGTGTATATACCAATATATCATCAGTTAGTTAGCAAAGGTACAGCATCTCCAACAGTTCATGTTAAAACATTTACTTGACTTTTCATAATTTCACACCTAATAAATGTTCTACTTAGCACCATTTTTAACTATATGTTAAGAACACCTCTAGTGGTGATAGTTACTGAATATCTGTTCGTAGACGTTTCTACTATGTGTCCTACTTCTTCATAAACTTTCTAGTGAAGATGGATGCTTGAATACCTGATATTAGGCATTTCTACTATCTGGTCCTACTTAAACCTTTTTCACTGGCCTGTTTTTAACTTGTCCTCAACTTACAGGTTATTGGAAATACAAATCAATGAATATCTTTTTATGAAAAAATTCACATTCAAATTTCCCATCTTTATTATGGACAAAGAGGTCTAAAAATGGAAGTCGATCTAACTCTGTACTTTTTTCATAGATAGAAAAGCATCTCACATCTTTAAATTGAGAACAGAAGAATATTCAGTAACTAGATATTTTAAGCACACTATAGACATCTGCAGTCAAGGTCAATCCAAATGTTTCTTCCAGACTGTTAATATTTATATTTCTTTACTCAATAAAGTTTCAAATCTACAAAGTAAATAAAATACCATCAAAACAAATTTTATGAAAATATTCCTTGTGTTTAAGAAGGTAAAAATAACATTTAAACTGATTTCACCAAGATAATCAGGTCATACGTTTTTCTAGGGTAACGGGCTAAGAGAATACGTAATTCAATAAATTATTAGAAACTGTGGTATTTTTTAATACGAGAAGATGTTAAGAGGATCAATACTTTATGAACCATGAATAGAATTAGTGCTATTGTGTAAAAAATTATTTTGATGGCCAGATTTTGAAAGGAATTATTGTTTATTTGTGAAATTTCAAACATTTTTTTTACAGAGTACCTGTATTATATTACAAAAGTCTGCAGCTATTTACCTCAAGCATGGTAAATTAGCCTATGAATGATATCCACATTTTCAACAATAACCATATTTTGTGAAATTTCTGCATATTATCAGTAAAACTTCTTTCATTTAATAATGTCCGAGTAGGTCGGACTTACGGGTACTGCCAAAGAACATGAAAATAAAAAATCTAAAGCATTAATGGCCACAAAATCAACACTTAACAAACCTTGCTTTCCCTCAAAGATTTTACTTGACAACTGGGAAACCAACTTGAAAATAATGAGCAGTGTAAAAAAAATCATGTAAATTGCTAAAACAAAAATACGGCAAAACCATTTTAAGTACCTGCACTTAAAACATAGTGGCAATGAACAATCATCCAAAATGTTTTCTAAAGACCTCTAAGCCTTCTGAACCATTCATATTCTTTAAACCAATCCAAAAATAGTTTTTTCTTTACTATATAATACTCAAATTCCAAATAAATTTAACAGTACATGTCTATTATAGTTTTATTATGACGTGTTATATTTAAATAAACCTTGCGTTACAAATGCACTTCTTTTTCACACTTATCCTAACACCCGCTACATCGTAAATTAATTCTCCCTTTCTTTATGGATAGTTCTTTAATTTTAACACCAGCAGGAAAAAAGGTTAAACAGAAATTTTTCCTGGTTGAAGCTGAATTCAGCAAAACAAAATTATCAAAGCAATAAGGAAGCAAAACTGTAAGTGTTAATTCTAAATATTGTTGCACAATCCAGACAGCAACATACATAAATCTAGTTTTGTAGGTAGGACGTGAGAACAGCTAAAACAATCATTTGGTTTGGTCCAATATCCTAGAATACCATTCTATATTAGGCGCCATGGCAAAGAACAAAGTTTGACATCTGATAAATACAGAACTATATCTCACTTAAATACACCAAGAACTTGAACATTTCTAGAACATTCTAATTAAGATATTTTACATAAAAAGGGCATATAAGTCTCTTATTTACAGTTGGCCATGTTGTAATCTCACTCAGCTGATAGGGTAAACTAGGTAACTGGAATCACACTCAGCTGATAGGGTAAACTGGGTAATTGGAATCCCACTCAGTTGATAGGGTACACTGGGTAACTGGAATCACACTCAGCTGATAGGGTAAACTGGATAACTGGAATCACACTCAGTGGAAGGGTACACTGGGTAACTGGAATTCCACTCAACTTTATCTAGCCTGATAAGGTACACCGGGTAGCTGGAACCCAAGGATGTGGGTAGGGGGGCTAAAGCTAACACAAAATACTACAGTAAATGTGCTCACAAGATGTAGAATGCAGCTGCTATTTTTTGTTGACCTCACCGGAAAGAGACTAGTGCCCCCTTTGCTGAAACATTTTAAACTTCATAGCTAGGGTACAAGCCAAGAAACTGTAATTACACTCAGCTTTATTTGGTTTTATCGTATATAAACCTGCACTCCTGGGCAACTGGGATAGCTGTTGATCAAGTCTGTTCAGAGTGATACATTAAGGAATAAGGAACTGTCACACATTTAGACTGAAAGATATTGGTTCATCCTTTGGATAATAAGGTTTCCCATTCCCAAGTAAAAACCATGTTCGTGATTCACCCTTTAATTAATAACTGATGTTTATGAGAAGAAGGAAATCACATAACAATTATAACTAACACCAATCCAATCTCAGGTAATAAGTAGAAGAACAAATTTAGACAGAAATTATCACACACTGCTGCTATAACAATAACTATCTAAAAAAATCATTAAACTTAACGTGCACATTTGTTTTATTTAATTGTATGAACTATTCAGCACCTTAAAATTACTGGAGCAGTATCATTGTTTAATCAGTTGAATAATCAACTACATGTGTAAAGAACACTGCCTACAAACTGCAACTAAAAATTTCACCTTGACCCAGACTATATCAGAACCAGGAAAACAAAAAAAAACACCCATTTTTAGCTAAACTTTGGATGTTTTCTCCACTTTATGTGATGCCTCCATCAGGATACTTCCACTGTAGTACTTCTGGGCAGTTTTTTCTAAGGCATCTGTGATGGCCTTCCTAATAAAAATGTGCACAAAAAAGAAAAGAGGGTGAGCTTTTAAAACTATAAGAGCTACCTTGATTGCTATAGTTTCTAACTATACATAGATCAGGACCAAAGTTTGACTTGACAAACCTCTACATGTTTCTATCAAAACATGTAAGACCTACTTAAGGAATGTATAATTGATAATATTTCAAACACTTTCTCTTATGATGAAGATCACTCACTGATATCACAGCTCACTCTAGAAGTCTAAATATTGAACTCTATATATGTGATAAGAAGTAAACATATTTAGTTTTATACGTTCACTGACATACCTTAAGTACAGTCACATTTCCTGTTGTATGAAAACTAGTAAATAAGCTTTAGAAGGTATCTTTAAAAGTAACATAGCAATCATGCAAGGACACTGAAACACAGAAAGTCAAAAATTGTTGTGAAATAACTTACACGTCCCTCACAGAAGTAGTTTAAATGTTCCACCTCTATTCATGATTTTATTCAAATATTAGATTACTCTTATTATTATTTATGTTAAAAACTATATTGTAAAAGTAGGCTAATGAATTTGCCATCAGGGAAAAAACTGTACAAAAATAGTTGTCATGTTTTTGTACAAGTTTATATGAAAAGTTTCTGTACACCTTTACTCAAAAACATAAAGAAAAAAAAACTAATTTCTAAGTCAGGACATGATAATGCCATAAATGTTTTAAAATGTTTCATTTTGTAAACTACATAAGTAAAAACAGTTCATGTGTAGTATAGGGGTCCAAAAGGTGCTCTCATTCAAAACAGGCACCACATCAAAAAAATTAACAGAATTAGCAAATGATTGCCAAAATAATTCAGTGTTGGTTAAAATAACATTTGTAACTAACTGTTTTCAACTTGGAATGGCATTCTTTACTAATCAGAAGAACCAAACTGTTACTGTAACTTTTATAATACTAACAAAAGCACCAGCAGCTTATTATTATTATTGCAGTACAATATATAATGGATATTTTAACTTTTTTTTCTAATAAATTAAGTAATGTAATGGCCAATGGTCTTATCATCTGAGGGTGTCAGATGCAAGAGAACTTCTAAGAGTCTGCTGTACCGT